AACATCATTTACTGCCAAGACATCCCATGTATTCTCTAGTATTATTGTGAATATCCTGACTTAACAAACTTGTTAGAATAAGATCTTGGACAGGATTGATTGTATCCTGGAAGTCACTAGGCTACTGATTTATTTGGGACTGAATATAGGTGTCTATCATAATTATTTTTCCTCTGGGGAAAAATTTTAACCTTCTAGACTCTTAAGATTGACCAGATATGTAGGTAGAATACTACAACTCCAGCTTTTCTTCCTCATGAAAAACAAACAAAACTGGCACTCACCCTTTCACTGAGCATAGATTGGCTTCTACCTCTACTAGTCAGGAAAATTTCCACTTCCATACAGAGTCACTGGAAAGCTTTGAGTCTTTATTCCCCATTCTCTCTTTCCTCATCCCCTCTGGTGTTATGTTTGTCCTTTCTTTACTTCTCAATAACTCCTCTTTCATTCCCCACTAATTGCTTGTTTGGTGAGAGACTTTAAGAAAAATAAGTTCTCAATACCTTAAAAAACATCAAACACAGAAAAAGTGCAATAATAAAAGTGGTAATAATAAGATTTCCTAATGAACTCTTCTTCCTATTATGGTTGTTGCTGAAAGTCAGTCAGGTGAAATCTTAAAAATTATATAGTGGGAGCATCTGCAACTCACATAAATTCCCGGTAGGAATGTAAAACCAAGCAACTGCTTTGGAGAACAGTTTGATAGAATCTTAAAACTTGTCATAAAGTCCAGTAGTTATTTGCAGAACTGCTACACAGATAACTGGAAACATATGTTTATATAAAGTCTGGTGCAAGACTTGATAGCTTTACTCATTGTAGCCTGAAGTGCAAACTGCCCAAATGGTCATCAGTAGGTAAAGGAACAAAGACTGACATGACCACATTATTAAATAATACATGGCAATACAAATTATTGTTGTATAGAACATGAAAGTATTTACAGAACAACTATACTATTATAAAGCAGACACATGTTGTGTGGTTGCTTTTGCATGAAATTCTAGAAAATAAGTTCTAATCCTTGGTGGTGATAGGCAGATCTCACATTACATGATAGGTGGGATGGAGAGGAAACTGATCTCAGAAGGAATAAAAGTACTTTTGAAAGTTATGGGTTTTATTATATATTTGGGTTAACAAGTATTTATAAGGATACATTTATATGTGTATATTTAATGAATTATATACTTAAAATCAGTGTGATCTATTATAATTAAATTTTTCTCTTTAGCCGGGCATGGTGGTACATGCCTGTAATCCCTATATGTGTATATTTAATGAATTATATACTTAAAATCAGTGTGATCTATTATAATTAAATTTTTCTCTTTAGCCGGGCATGGTGGTATGTGCCTGTAATCCCAGCACTCAGGAGACTGAGGCAGGAGAATCACTGTGAGTTTGAGACCAGCCTGGGCTACATAGTGAGTTCCAGGTCAGTCTCATCTACATCATGAGACTCTGTCTCAAAAACCCCCCCAAAAAATTTTTTTAATAATGATGGTTAACAATGTATATAGCCAGTAAGTTCAAAGGTCAGCTGCATAATGTCTTCACACCTGTTCTTGCATTTGAGCCCTGTGAGCAAGAACTTTTTCAGCATCATCTCAGTTCCAACATTAAAGAACTATGTATCTTTCTGCAAAACCTTTATTTTCTTTCCACTTTAGCTTTGTAGTCAATAATTGAGAATTTTGGTTAGTCTTGTACACAAGATCAAAGATGTAGGTTTAATACATGTTCACTATTCCAAATAAAAGTCAAAAATGGTATGTCATTTAAAATTAGGAAAACTAAATAAGACAAAATATTTTTTTAAAGTTAAGGAAAGACAATTGTTATAGCTTTCATTTTATAACCATAATTTAGAAATTATAAGATGTGATCAACATGTACATTAAATATTTGAATTTTTAAGTATTTATTACAGTAAAAGACACATTGCTGTTAATCTCCTTCAAATTATACTTCCTTCAAGCATACTCATTCCATTCTTTTTGGCTGTTTCTGTTACAGTTCTGGAAGTCTTTTGTGAGTGTCTTCAGTTGCACTCTCCTGGCTGTCTCAATGTTCTTAATTAATTTAAAACATCTACTTTCATGAGGATTTTAATTTGGGGAAGAATCAAAAGTCACATCAGGACAAATCTATTGAATAAAGTGAATGAAAACACATTGGCTTTGATTTCTTCTTGGGTTTGTAGGGCACATGTGATGTGATCATTTTCCAGTCTCACACCCTTCACCATGTTTGCTGTTTATGAAGTCGAAAGTGTGTGGCAAAGCCTTGCCTTCACAAAAGTGCGATCCATTTCCAGTCACACCTTTCTTGCCTTCTATAGAAATCCTGCTCTTTACAAATACAATGCATGTAAATAGTGCAAGTGCTGATTCAAACTGGATACACAAGTCTGTGGGTGTAAAGATAAAGATCTATTTGACAAAAAACACGTAGTTCTTTCATTACACAATAGCCTAGTATTCTTCAGGAATAAGCCTAATTTCATGCATTTCTCCCTGCACTCTAAACCTGTAGCCACTAATGAGATACAAGAACCTTCCAATTAAATTCCACTGGTCTGACAACCATAATCTGGAGATTGATGCTCCTCTGCTTACTCTACTCCTTTGTTCCATGTCCCAGTCCCAACCAGTATGTGACTCAAAGCATCATGTTTCAGGAAAAAAATCTAAATAGAACTAAAATGTCTTCTTCAATTGTAGATTTCTAGGGCAACCTCTGTGGTATATAGTTGGAATTGCAATTAAGAGGAAGAGTAGAATTTGGTAGTCTCCAAGTTGCTTCTACTCCATCTCTCCCACCTAATAACAATGGCAGAAACACGGGATGAGCCTCTCCTCTTTCTGGTTTCCATCTCAGTGAATGTTTTCTTCCCTTATTCCAGAAAGCAGTTTAAGAGTCATTGCATGTATACTGTACTTTTTTTTATAACTGGAAAAGAGGCAAGGAACCTGTAATATTGCTTACATCAGGGAGCCTTAAAAATGTGGAATGCCAGTGACACACATGTTCACACCATAGTCTGTATTAGATCTATATATGTATGCGTGCATGTATGTAAGTATCTGTCTATATCTATCTACATATCTATCTAATATAACAAAATGCTAGATCATTGACTATCTGGATGTGATACTAATTCATTTCTGTGTCCTTCAAATGGTACACTAGTGCATTTTATAAAACACTAACCTAAAAAATATTCTTCTTGTGTGACGTATTCTAAAGGCCCTAGATAAAGACCTTGAAAGAATTATACTAAAATAATCCTCAAGGTGAAAGTGATAGCTTTTTTAATATAACAGATGCTATAAGTATTAAAGAAAATGCTAAAATATTAAAAATATAAAATGAAGATTATTTTAAAAGAAATAATAGTGTTATGAAATGGTAAACTTTCATGGACAGAGTTTTATCATAGATATTGAGGAGAAACATATAGAGTAGGTCTAGGTAGGAATGAAACAATTTACCAATAAAGACAAAATAACTAGGATTTTAGAAGTTGTCAGTAGATTAATGAAGAATAAAATGTCCCCTAGAACTTAACATAATTTTGGACTTAAAATGTTTGGTTTAGATTTAACCCTTTTCTCTATCTCTGCTAAGTTGTTTAACTACAACTCAAATATAAATATTTAAATATTAACAAAATGATAGCAGTGCGTATTATGTGTTGGATATTGTTCTAAATTTTTATCTTTTTTAAACTGTAAAGTCATGATAGATACTTTTATTTTGGTAGTTTCATAGAATAGACAATGAAAACAAGTCGCAGTCAATAAGTGATGTAGCTCAACTCTCACCCAGGATAGTTGACTTGAGGACCCCCTGGGGTAAAGATAAGTCCACTGGATGGATAATATCTCAATACAAATGGAGCTCTAATTTCTGAATGAAGATTTGTTTGGGATTTGAAGTAGCATTAATAAAACTTCTTTCTTGAGACCTAAAGGTTAACAAAGCAAAATACTTTGTCTTAAGAAAATCAGATTTATAAGAAATGAGGCTCAGAACTGGGAAATATAACACAAAATGCTACTTACCCTTTGTATAGGAAGGCCCTTAAACCAAGTACAGGCCTCACATGTGCCCAATTCTGAGGAATGTGAGGAAAATCATTCTGGGTTCCACTTATATCAGAATTATGTACTGAGATTTTCAAAACTGTTAAGGAGAGTTGGGAGGATGTCTGCTTAGGTTATGCTATGCACTTTGCAGAATGGAGGGGTGTACTTAGTAGAGGATCATCCACAGAGAAGTTCTCTGCTTGCACAACAATGTCATCACCTACACAGTGCGATTGGAGAAGGACCTGCTCATCTGTGCATAGGCAGTCTTCCACACTTTTGGGATTTACAAATGTTGCCCTTAACACAGTCTTATCAAAAATGGCATTACTGCATGGGCTTTGGGAAATATAAATGAGGAACAAATATAAGGTATGTGTAGGAAATGGCATGCTGATTGACTCTTCATTTGAACCTTGTGTCAGCATGAACTACTGGAGGTGAGTAAACATAAAAGGAGGGAGGGAGAGAGGGAGAGAGGGGGAGAGAGAGAGGAAGAGGGAGAGGGAGAGGGGAAGAGAGAGAGAGAGAGAGAGAGAGAGAGAGAGAGAGGACCCACAAACTTCTACTTTGATCCCTACAGGCTCCTAACGAAAATCAAAAACCATATGGCTTGTTTACAAGATCAGTGATGCAGAAAACCAGTGATTTAATTATGTGAGCATAGAGAAACATTCTACCCTCAGTTTGGCCAGCACCCTTTTCTGAAATGACCACCTGGCATGGGCTGGTCTAGTGCAGAGTAGAGGAGGCAAGTGTCTCTGCAGCTGGAAGTCTGGGTTGGCCCTCCCTAGTTGCTTTGCATGCTCCTCCCAACTAACCCTCCAGCCCAGAGCCCATATCAATGCCTGGGCCACAGCTCTGAGGAAGATCTGCATCAGACAGGACCCAGAGTGAACTATGGAAGCTCCAGCATGGCTCCCCCTCTTCCTGTTACTCTGGCTCCCAGGTGAGGGGGCGTGAAATGGTTCTGCCTGTCTGTGATACCCTTTCCTGGTTGTTAGGATTTGTGGTCTGGCTCCTCTCTTCAGCAAGCACAGTGATTAAAGCTCACTGCACTGTAACAATCCTAGTTCTACTGTTAAGACAGTAGGCATGATATAGACTGCACAGGTGACATTCTTATTTCATTTCCTGTGTTAGGTACAACTGGAGAAATTGTGATGACACAGACTCCAGCCTCCCTGGCTCTGTCTCCAGGAGAAACAGCCACGCTCAGCTGCAGGGCCAGTCAGAGCATTAGCAGCTACCTAGCTTGGTACCAGCAGAAACCTGGGCAGGCTCCCAGGCTCCTCATCTATAGTGCATCTACCAGGACCACTGGAGTTCCGGCCCGGTTCACTGGCAGTGGGTCAGGAACAGACTTTACTCTCACAATCAGCAGCCTGGAGCCTGAAGATGTTGCAGTTTATTATGGTCAACAAGCTTACTCTGGGTTCCACTGTAACTCAGTCCCCAGCAAAAACCTTACCAGTCTCATCTGCCTTCACTTTCTTCCTTCCCTGGGGGTATAATTGCTTCCTCCATAACTAAAGTCAGCTATTCTGCAGTTTTGGGTTTGTTTTGACACCTGAAAGGGAAATTTAAGAAAGAGAAAATCATGCTTCATTCACATCTTTTGGTTTTTTTTTTTTTAGACTGGCTTTTCTTCCCAGATAAAATATCAGAGAATAACAAGAATCTTATCTGCATATTTTGTAAAGTAAATGAACTCTTAGAATAACATATAAATATCCCATGTTAATGTAGAGAGTAATAGTGGGTATTTGTGCCTCAATATCCTTATTTGGTTAATAGGGATAATAAAACTGATTTGATCAGACTTGTACACTGAATACCATGAAATAGCCTGGAAAGAAATTATAGCAGGCTTGAGAAAAGAAAGACATCCTTTTTGTAGGTTGAAATACTTTGTATTATTAAAATACAAAACTTTTCAAATTGGGGTGCAGATTTATTGCAATTTGTTTCAAAATCTCACCTGTCTTTTTTTCTATAATTATCAGTATTATCCTATGATTAGTATAGAAATATAGGGTACAGAAAATAGCTAAAATAATCTTGAGAAAGAAAAATGTAGTTAGACAATTCAAGCTTTCTTACTTCAAGTTTTTTTGGTGGTGGCTGGGAATGAAACCTAGGATCTCACACATGCTAGGCAAGTGCTATATTCCAGACTGGGATTTCAATCTTAATCACGGTGTTTAAGTAATCAAAATTAATTGGTTCTGGCATAATGATTAATGGAAATAAAATGAATATTCCTAAACCAAATCATTATATTTATAGTTAATTGCTCTTTGGTAAGGTGGTAAAGCAATGCAATGATGAAAGTAGGATTTTAAGCAATGAGATCTGGGACAACTGCTCTGGCCTGTGACAAGCCAACCAGTGAGGACTGGTTAGCAGTGCAGTGGGCCTGTCCTCACCCTACACTTTCCCCAGCCTGCAACTCTGAAGGAGGAGGTCTGGGTCAGACATGCAGAGCTCTTACCCTTGCTCCAGCCTGTGCTAAGCCAACTGATGAGGACTGGCTGGCCAGCTGGTGGGCTTGCCCTCACCCTGCCCTCACTGCCTGCATCCAGAAAGGTCCAGGTCAACCTTGCAGAGATCCCGTCCTTACTCCAGCTTGGGTCAAGCCAACTGGTGAGGACTGGTTGGCTACACGGGTCATCTGCAATATCCACCCATTGCCCCCATGCTCTCAGACCTCCTGATTGTGCCAGTTCTTGGATCCACTCTGCACAGACATAGCTGCTCATAAAGGTCATTTTTCTGAGCTCCAGAAGATAGAACAGAAGTGAACAACTGCAAGAAAGACACATTAGATCTCCATAGTTGGTAAGTTGAAAAGATCACCACCTTCCATCAGAACTTTGAATGTCTTCAGAGAAAGGGCAGAGGGAACCGGCAGTACAACCTTGCAGAGTTCAAGGCCACAGGAGGTCAGGGAGCTCAATTTGGGCCTTGAAGTCTGAATTCAGCCTGAATCTCAGGGGTCAGCCATCAGCTAGCTAAGACTAAAGTACTTAGCTCTGCACATGGCTAAGCACATTGTCTATTGTGACAGCAAAGGTATAGTCTGAAAGAGGCCCTTCAACTTCTTTTTCTTCTTTCTTTTCCTCATCCCACTCTGCAAATTCTCTTTTCTGTCTGTTTTTTTCAAACTCATTCTCTTGCTCCCCCATATTATTCTCCATCTCCCTTCCTGTTCCTGTTACTGCCCTACTCGTATTTCTTCTTTTATTGTTTTTTCTTCTTTCTTTATTTTCTTTACTTCACTCATTTTCCTTCACTCAAGGGTCAATAGTTTCAAAGCAAAGTAAGCCCCTATTACTGCTAAATTGTTATATTCTTATTCTTATTCTTGCACTCTGTCTTTCACTCCTATCATCAACAGCTTCCTAAAGTTTGTGTGGTTATCCTATGTCCTTTGGTTTCACTAGAAACATTCTCCAATTCTTCTGTCTACTCCTCTCATCCTAACTCTGTCTAAGCCCCCATTGCAAGGGTAAAGATGCTATATTGAAGAGTTTATTCACTGTAAACATATTTTGGGCTACTCCTTGATTTTGCTTTAATTCACATTTTTTTTCAGCTTTAATTGAGCTTATTGGTACATTTTAGGGATACAGTACAGTTACATTCATTGTTGGGATATTGTATCTCTACATGACAAGTCTTGATTCTCATTTTTCCCCCTTACCTCTGCCCTCCCTTCACCCCCTCCTCCCCTCCCCATCTACAAACACTTTATTTTCATCTTTTCATTCTCTCACATTTCTTTCTTTTCCCTTTTTACACTTCCCCTACCCATCCCACCTTCCCTACACCTTTAGCTCCTTTCTTCCCATTTCTAAATGTTAATTCACATGTTTAAAAGGTGATAGATTAATGACTAACACAAGTGGTCAATTTGTAAGCTGTGCTTGATCCTATTGTGTTATTGATTGTATAAATTGGACTAAAGGGTTGTGATTGATTTAATGAGTTGTCCTTCCTGATACTATGAAAATGAGAATATCTATGAGTCATTAGAGACTCAAAAGCTAAAGCAAAACTTTATCAGGAAGATTTAAGTAATAATCCAGGAATTAAACCAAGGACAACCCAACAACATAAACAAAAATGAGAAAACATTTAAGCAAGACACAAAGACAGACTTCCAGTTCACCAACAGCAAATTCTAGGGGAAATGAGGTTGAAAAGTCTGAGAGTCAACCACCAGGACACCCTGAACTCATAGCACAGGAAGTAACAAAACAAATCAATCAGGCTCTACAAAAATTCAAAACAGAAATAATTTTCCAGATAACTACAGAGATGATGAGCAAAATGAAAGACATGATCAGAGACTCCAGAACAGAAAATTAAAAAAAAAAAAGAGGGCAGAACCATGATAGAAGCCATGAAAGCCCAGAATAAGAAAGAAATGGAAACAATGAATGCCCAACATAGGAAAGAAATGGAATCCATGAAACAGATTCAGGTATCCAGGTGGTTAAAAACTCTATTGAAAGTTTTCACATCAGGATAAATGAATGTGAAGATAGAATTTCAGATATAGAAGGCAGGATTGCAGTCAGTGACTATGAAAAGAGAGGTCATTAAAATCTGTAAGGGATCATGAGAAAATTATTCAGCTACTCCAAGATGATGCAAAGAAGAATAACATTAAACTGATAGGAATCCATGAAGTAGTGGGAGAATATACAAGGGACTTAATAAAGCTGTTTACAGAATGAAAGACAGAAAACTTCCCAAACAGAAGGGAAGAATTTGACACACAGATAAATGAAACATATAGGACTCCAACTAGCCATGATTAAAAAAAAATCTACACCTAGTCGTACAATAATCAAGATCCCAGTGGGGCCAGGGATTTAGCTCAATGGTTCGGTGGCCTGCCTTGCAAGCGCAAGGACCCGAGTTCAATCCCCGGTACCAAAAAAAAAAAAAAAAAAAAAAAAAAAAAAATCAAAAAAATCCCAGAAACCCAAAAGAAGAGAAAAATACTCCAAGCAGTAAGAGAAAAGAGACAAATCACATGAAAAGGCAAGCCCATCAGAATCAGAGCAGATTTTTCAACACAAGCTCTCAGATCAAGGAGAGTCTGGAGAGAGGTATTTCAAGTCCTAAAAGAAAACAACCTCCTGCAAAACTCTCTTTCAAAATGGATGGGGAAATAAGATACTTCCACGAAAAAGAACACCTGAGAAACTTCATGAATACCAAACCAGCACTACAAGGAATTCTAAACAATATCCTAGAAAAAGACAATGAAGGTCACAACACCATGAGGCCCAAGAGACCAAATCAAATAGGCAAGGCAAGAAACTAAAAGGAGAGGGGGAAAAATGAAAAAGAGTCAACGAAAGGACAGTAATCTGACAATAATAAGTCAGTACATATCAGTTATAACCATCAATGTCAATGGCTCCAATTCACCAATCATGAGAAATAGACTGGCAGAATGGATTAAGAAGCAAAATCCAACAATATGTTGTATACAAGAAACACACCTAGTGCAGAAAGGAGCCCATAGACTGAAAGTGAAAGGATGGGAAACAGTTCTCCCTGCAACAGGAGCCCAGAAAAAAGCAGGGGTAGCTATCTTTTTTGCAGACAAAGTAAATTTCAAACCAAAGATGATTTAGAGAGACAAAGAAGGCCACTACATCCTTGTAAAAGGCAACAATTCAAGAGGAAGAGATGACAATCATAAATATATATGCACCAAATATTAAGGCCCCCAACTATATAAAACAAATATTAAGTAACATGCAAAACTAAATAAGCACTAATACAATTGTAGTGGGGCATCTAAATACCCCACTATGACAATTAGACAGATCATCTAGGCAAAAAATGAACAACAAAATACTAGAACTGAACCAAGCTTTTGAATGCATGGACTTAATAGATAACTGTAAAGTATTCCACCCCACAAAATCAGATTATACATTCTTTTCAGCTGCATATGGGTCATTCTCCAAGATAGACCACATACTAGCTCATAGAACAGGTTTGAATAAATGCAAAGGAATCAAAGTTATCCCATATATATTACCAGATCATAGTGCAGTTAAGCTGGAGATCAATAGCATAAGAAATAGTAGGAACTTCACAAACACATGGAAATTGAACAATACCCTCCCAAACAATCAATGGGTCACAGAGGGAATTAAAGAAGAAATTAGACAGTTTTTACAAAAAAATTATAATGTCAATACAATATACAGGAATCTATGGGACATAATGAAAAAAGTTCTATGTGGAAAATTCATAGCAGTGAATGCCCACACTAGGAAAACAGAGTGAGCTCAAATAAACAACCTAATGATGAATCTCAGACTCCTAGAAAAAGAAGAGCAAGAAAAACCCAAAGCTCATACAAGAGAGGAAATTATAAAGATTAGAGCAGAAAAGAATGCAATGGAAACTAAGAAAATGATACAAAAAATAAATGAATTGAAGAGTTGGTTTTTTGAAAGAATAAATAAAAGTAATAAAC